CTCGAGGTTTCGGGTTGCCTGGCTGGGGCAGGGGTGTTACAGAGCCCACCTCTACAAAGCTGAATCCCATACGAAACAATCCTTCCACAGCCTCTCCATGCTTATCAAATCCTGCTGCCAGGCCAATAGGGGTTTTGAACACTAAATTCACCACTCTGGATTCCTGCCGATTTTTCATATACATGTTTTTATACTCGAGACAGAAAAAGGGAAATTTCTGGATTTTATGTATAATCTTTTATGATATGAATATGAGAAAAAGAGAGAAAAAGTGTCAAAAGAAAATATAAAAAAAGCATGCAGTCTATAAAGCATAGAAATAAATGCTGAGGAGAGGAGGGGAAGGAAGAGGTGCAAGAGGAGGAGAGGGAGAAGAAGGCAGAGGAAAAAGAGGAAGAGGAATGAGATGGAAGATGAAAAGGAGGCAAAGGAGGAAGAAGAGGAGGGGGAGGAGGAAGAGGAGGAAGAGGAGGAGGGGGAGGAGGAACAGGAGGGGAGGAGGAAGAGGAGAAGGAGGAGGGAGGAGGAGAAGAGGGAGAGGAGGAGGAGGAGGAGGAGGAGGAGGAGGAGGAGGAGGAGGAGGAGGAGGAGGAGGAGAGGAGGAGAAGAAGAAGAGGAAAGAAGAGAGATAAACGGAGCAGAGGTGGAGGAGAAAAGATTAGAGAAGGAAGAGGATTAGGATGAAAGGAGAAGGAGGAAGAGGAGGAAAAGTAAGAAAAAAGAGGAAGAAGAGAAAGAAAAGCAGGGGGAAGAAATAAAGGAGGAGGGAAAAGAAGAGGGAATAGAGGAAGAAGAGGAAGCAGAAGACAGAGTCGAGGAAGCAAAAGAGGCATAAAAAGAAAAAAAAAAACATAAAGCAGCAGAGGAGGAAGAGGAAGTGGAGAAGGAGGATAAGGATGAAGTTGAGAAATAGAGGCTCTGTCATTAAGCAAGGCCTGGCACCACATCAAAAATGATTGCAAAAGTAAACAGGAGCCACAGATCATCAAAAGGTCATTACACGTACAATCACTTACATATAACTCTTTGTATTTCTTACTCAGTATGCCATGGAAAACAACATTCAAAAGACCTTAGGCATACTTGTGTGTTTTCTTGTTCTACAACACCCTGATGACAGGTACTGCTACAGCCATCATGGAAAGCCTATCCTTCATGACCAGCATGTGTATACAGGTGAGTGGGTGGGAAGGGTAAGGTATACACAGGGAGCACCCTGCCAGAGAGGCTAGACAGTTGCCAGAGGTTACCAAAATGAGTGCCACACAGAAAGTTCTGGCAATGTCAGTGTAGGGTTAAAACATAATACAACACAAATAACCATAAATATACTTTAAACTCAAACAAAATTTCATAAATGAAAAGCAAAAACAATCCTATCACAGCACAAATAATCTAACTTACATTCTTTAAGGACTGAAAGGTATTTAAACAACTGTTAGGTTTTTGGTCTAGGCACTTTACTACAAAATTTCCAGTTAAAAAAATCCTTTAGCCAAATGCAATCTACTTGAATCTACATACTCATTTTCATAGTGAGTCTATTTATTGGAAAGAATATATGTGAAATATGAATAGCAATAGGGTTAACATACACATATTACTTTACAAAATATGACTAATAACTAATTTTTAACTTGAAGGGGAATCAGTTTCTTATATGCCTTTTCTACTGTTTATGTATCAGATCCTATCTTATAAGATAAGGAGGTTATGCTTTTGAAACAATATCTCATGAGGCTGTCTATGGTCATATCTGAAAAGTCTTTCTGAATGAATAGTCTTTCTTGAAAAGCCTTCTGTGGTATGGTCTTTTCTGAAAAGGTCATGCAGTATTCGAAGACTAGACTTACAAAGTCTTCTAAAGTCATCTCTCATAAGAGAATGGCTATTTTACTGATCAAGAGTTCTTTGCTCAAGTCCTCAATTTCTTCTATCATAAAAAACACTTAGATACTTAAAAAATAACTATACTTTTGAAAACTACTAAGGACCTTCTGGAGGTTAATGATATTTAATATGAAGTATCAATAACTGAGAGAAAAAAGAGTATATGGGTTGCCTCTCCTATTTGCATTTGCCTAACAACATAGCAGATAGGAAAACCAGCATAATGATCTCTTATTTTCAATTGCTCAAACAAACACAAACACAAGACATAATTTTTCTCAAAGACTAGTATTAAAGAACAAAAGAAAAAACATTACTACAACAAACAAAATTTATCAAACACAAAGTATATCTAGCCTAAAGTAATCTACTAAACTAAAAGCCACAGACATCCATCAGTATTCTGATCATGTATGAATTACACTCACCTTATAATTTATATGAAAGTTTAACCATATGTGATGGTAGCTTTTTTTAACCTATACATTCACTGTCAATGTTCTTTCCAATGCCTTAAGTTTTTCCTTGATTTACTTTACTTGTTATCTGCGTATTTAGTATCCCTAAGGCTGACTAAACTCAAGCTTAGGGGCCCAACAAAAGCTAGGCCCCATGCAACTTTACTTTTTTCTTTTAATGATGAGTTAACATTATGGATATGGGAAGCAAGCCCTGAATGCCAATGAAATTAATTCATAGGAATCCACAATAATATGAGAGATGCTAAGGGTGCATGGCCAGATTATCCTTAAGCTAATATAGACTGCAGCCTGGAGCCACTGAAGCTTAAGGGGCCCTGCAAAAAGACTTTTAAATATACTTCAATGAATATATACTTCAATTACTACTACTACTACTACTAGTTATAATTACCATAATAAAAATAATTCAACCAATAATAAAATTGTTACATCACTCTAATGAAGACAGGTTTCAGGATTTTCCTCTAGGGGAATAGGTCTGTAATTTTTTTCTTTTTTTCCTTTAGTTTTCTGTCTGCTTAGTTTGCTTCTAAATTACTCCATGTGTAAGGAATGGCCAGGGTTACCATCCACTGGCAGTGTGCAGGACTGAATGCAGGTCAACAAGATTGCTAGACAAGAATGCAACTGCTGTGCTACACTGTAAAATATTTACTTATCTCTTAGAAAACAGCTGAGAGAGATCCAGGGGGTGGGGAAAGCACCACCAACACCAATATTCTTGCTAGCATCCCATACTGGATGCAAAAGGGAAGAAAATAGGCTTCAAGGAAAATTTCCTGAACATTTACATTTTATTAACACTGTACGTTGATTTTTCATTTAATCATAATTTTTTTTTTACAAAACTATCCTATCCCTAAATTCACAATTCATAAGAAAAACACTCTTTAATGGATGAAGAAAACAAATGACAGTATGCAAAATTATTATGCAGACTGTCATAACCTCCTGATTGAAACAATAGGAATGTTCACTTTGTGAGTAATATGACATATGAATAAAAAGGAAAAAAAAAGGGAACATACCTAATAATCAATCTTATAGTCTTTGTAAAATGTACAGTTGGCATTCAAAGCACCATGTAACAATACAGTTTTGGAAAAAAAAAAGTGAAACAACAATGGGTCAGTGTTCATCCAGATCTTTTCCAGCTGAAGCTGAGGCCCGGTGCCCTTTGGGACCTTATTTTGGTATTGCCAGTATTGTCTCTTTGGATGTCCTTCCTTATATTGAGTGTGGTCTGGCTTGCAGTCAAAAATAAAAGACTTCTATACTTGGGATGAATGGGATAACACAACAAAGCGAACATGGCAACTAAATGTATCAAAAGTAAAATAAAATTATGAATACATAATCCTAGGAATACTATGTTCACCAGACAGTAATAAAATGTTAATTTTTTTAAATACTACAATTTGATAATACATATAACTGCCACATACATCACTAAAGATAATAATTGAATTATGCTATAAAGGGGAAATCAAAGCTCAAGAAGTACTCAGATTAAAAGAACAATGTATCTATTAATTTAGAATACAATTTTTCCTGACAATATATATCTTATTGGTGCTTTTGTACAAGTTGAGACTGCTGTGCTCTTAATCAAATTCACAGATAATGATAGAGGTGATCTGCTTTTAAATTAAGAACCCTGTTTTTCATGTTTGAACTGCAAGTTGCATGTATTTGCATCTTTATGAAGCCTTGTATTTGGCATATTTGCATGAGTGAATGAGTGAATTGTGATTTGCAGGAAACCCATAAGAGAAGAGATGGCTCAGCACAGGTTGAATGAGAGCAACTGAGTGGGCCTTTGAGATGAACTATCTCAGAGATAATCTCCCTTTCATTATCCACCTAGCAAGGAATTATAAGAAATTTTTAATTTGGTCTCCTTTAGTTTACATCAAGGTACTTCAGACTGAAACTTCAGATTGAAAATGAAGTATTATTTGCATTTAGTATATTTTTCCAGTACCAATTACTTGCCAAATGCAAGGCATTACTGTACACTTTGAGCATCAAATACATTATATATTGTAAGTACATGTATAAGAATAAATAATCAGCCTGATATATCAGTATGTACAAAACCATAATATTTGTTTTCTGAAATATGAAACAATTCAAAATATTGTTTAGAAAAAACCTGAATATACATCAACTTTGTACCCAGAGCTCATTTCTGAACTCTCATCTGAGGTATAATGTATTTTAGGATACTCTGTAGTAGCCAAAGAAAAGAGAGAGAGAGAGAGAGAGAGAGAGAGAGAGAGAGAGAGAGAGAGAGAGAGAGAGAGAGAGAGAGAGAGAGAGAGAGAGAGAGAGAGAGAGAGAGAGAGAGAGAGAGAGAGAGAGCAACAAAACATATATACATGGATGTATATCTACTTACACAAATAAATATATATGTGTATATGTGTATATGTGTGTGTGTGTGTGTGTGTGTGTGTGTGTGTGTGTGTGTGTGTGTGTGTGTGTGTGTGTGTGTGTGTGTATGTGTGTGTGTGTGTGTGTGTGTGTGTGTGTGTGTGTGTGTGTGTTGTGTGTGTGTGTGTTGTGTGTGTGTGTGTGTGTGTGTGTGTGTGTGTGTGTGTGTGTGTGTGTGTGTGTGGTGTGTGTGTGTGTGTGTGTGTGTGTGTGTGTGTGTGTGTGTGTGTGTGTGTGTGTGTGTGTGTGTGTGTGTGTGTGTGTGTGTGTGTGTGTGTGTGTGTGTGTGTGTGTGTGTGTGTGTGTTGTGTGCGCGTGCGTGTGTGTGTGCGCGTGCGTGTGTGTGTGCGCGTGCGTGTGTGTGTGTGCGTGTGTGCGCGTGCGTGTGTGTGTGCGCGCGCGCGCGCGTGTGCATGTGCGAACAAAATTTAAACATAAAAGATAATGCTTTTGCTAGAACCTATATAAATTACAGTGTTGATCCTATATACAATATATACATAACTATCAGTAATAAAAATTTCAACATGTTAGCCTAATCAAAACATATACTCTTATTACTGTTATTTTTCTCTTTCCTCATAATCAAAAACTGTAACGAAATATATAAAACAGCAAAATGGCATTTTCTCTTCTAACTCTTTCAGTCTCTGACTATTAGCAGAACATTTCAAGTAAATTCACCACATCATTTAGAGACACATGAAGAAAATCAGATTCCCATGAGGTAATTCTCTTCACCTATAAGACCTAGATGTTAACATGGACTTGCTAGACAAAATATTCAAATCTATTTATATTGGATACCTTTCACACACCCCCTGTCGCCCCATGAGAGGAGTTGACAGCAGGGATGGAGGCTGTTGGTGGAGGCTCCTATTGCACAGCAGGAGGAAGACAGTTAAGTTGTTAGACATAATTCTATACAACACTGCTAGTAAACTCTGAAGCTTCTGAGATTCACATGAAAATTAGTGATTACTACATTATACAAAAAAGACCTATTTGTGGTATCCCCATGAGCTATATTATCTGCCTTTGTATTTTCTTCTTTAACATTTCCTTGAATATGTGTAACATAGCAGACAGTCTCAACCTATCCAATACTAAATATCATTCTTATTACACTTATAGTGGAATCCTGGATTTTGTTAGCATACTTTATATCTATATTAACATTTTCACAAAAAATATGCATATATATATATATATATATATATATATATATATATATATATATATATATATAAAACAACTTTGATCAACTCACCAATAACTTTGACTCCTTCAGCTTTGCCTCTGGTACCAAGTTGTATTTTGCTGCCATCACTGCTAAGTTGTGGGCTGTTTCTGGGTCTACAGAGTGGAAGATGGGCATCACCCAGGTGTCATAAAACTTTTCATTCTTGAAGTAGAAGTTGATGCCAACAAACACAACCGTTCCTCCAATTGAGAGCTTGATGACATCACTGACTTTTTTCTGTAAAATGGATATGCTACTAACATATCTTGAGAGATTTTCCGGGAATTTCTGATTTAAAACTAGAATGATGAGCATACACCAAAAAATGATTTCATTTCTTATTAGACTGGAAAGTTTATAAGAGTGATGCCCTTAACCCATCTGCACTGGGGCATATCTGTCTAGTTGACATATCCTATACTTAGTTTGGTATCTCCAATCCCCTAACCTGACTTTGTCTATGCCAACCTCTCTAGGCTGCTAGCTGCATGCAAATTTCTCACACCACCAACTTGACCCAATGCTGCCAGGTGTTTTCATGCCATACCAGGGACTGCCACAAGTGCAAATACAATTGCTGCTCAAAGGAAATTCTTAGAGGTACAGGAAACATTCTTCTCCACCCCTAATAATTTTGACTATAGTAAACTATTAATAGTAACCTATTTTCCAGAAGGCTAAAAAGTTACAATAATCTTATTTTTGAGAGGTTGTAACTCCTCAGTGACTGGCCAAACAAGCACACACATCTGTAAAAAGGCTCAACCATGTATGGCTTGGTGGTTTCTGTACATGTATCCTGCAAAATATAAAAACATCTAAAGCTCTACCCTAATGTCTGTCAATCAAAAGTCCATAAATGTTCCCAACCACACTGAGGGGAAAACCTGCTGAAGCACCTAATTCTTAAGTTGAGATAATAAGGCTTACTTTTTTCTTGATATTTCCTCTTTCCGTAAGTACAACCTACCCTTCATGATAATCAGGGCTGGCTGTACACAGGTAATGCCCTGCTAGAAAGGCTAGACGGTTGTCAGTAATCGCAGAAATGAGTGCCACACAGAAAATTCTGGCACCGTCAGTGTAAGCAAATCCTATAACTTCCTTGCCTTTCATATTGTCAAAGATGAAAAGTGTCTTAGACATTGTCAATCAGTCAATTCCATGCACTGATTGCATTGTGGCTGATGGTTAACAAATATCAAAAGAATCTTAATTTGAATACCAACAACTACCTAAATAATTAGTACAAAGCTCCTTGATAATTCAAATGAATGGAACAAAAAGTATTTGAAGCCATACAAAATGGAGTTGGCAAGGAAATTATATTCATACCTTCCACAAATACTTTTACTGATGCATTTTCATAGATTGGTATGTTATATCATAACAACTGTTATGCTGTTCAGGAAAAATATGTCATGATTAACAAATCTACAAAGCCAAGATATATACTGGTATAAAGGACACTTACCACATATGGTGGCAGACTGGAAAATCCTCTCTTTTGAAATGAAAAAATAAAATTTTTAAATTATTCAATGCATACACAACCATCCACACCCACAAACACACATGCAGGCATATATGTAAATACACTTTTGAATTATGTTCATATTCACTGAATTAAGGAAACAATACTTTATTGCAAAACAAAGAAAACTACATATATACATCACACTGTATATATTGCAAAGTATTACTTACATGTATTTCATCTTAAAAAATCTGATATAATTCTTGTACATTTTTGATACTATATTATCTACAAATTTCCTTTGCACAAATAGTGCATATCATAATCCATAAAAAAAATAAGATGTCTTCTTGTCTGCAGCAGTATCTTTCATTTTCTCATAATAAAAGCAGGTGATTTCCCAGAATACTGTGGATCAACTGTGAATCATTGCTGCTAGCAAAGTTTGTATAAATAGATGGCATTTGATAAATACTCTAAATATATACTAATTTTAGTTTATACAAACCAGCTATAACAGTGATGTTGATGGTAATGAAGAATGACTAGGTTTCAAGTGAACACTGTGGCCCTCACTAAAAGGCCAAAAATCTCCCACAAGCAAAAAAACAGTTTAAATCTTCTGGATAATTTGTCATCAAATAATGAACCAGTCTAGGCTTTATGCTACTAGAACATATATAATTGGGATTGTTTTGCTTTGCCCAAGCACTATGCATATAGATCACAGTAATCACCAGATTATTAAAGCGGTTGTGATGCTGTGTGAGTTCTCCTTCTAACTTGATATAACATTGTTATCAGGAGAATTATGCAGTATGATATAATGAATTTGATCAAAATTGAAATTAACATGAATAGTTTCAATGACATCCACTCTTACAGGATTGCTGCAATACTTAAGGGGAAAAGTCTTGGACACCTTTATGGCATCACAGAAGTACTTTACCTCCTTAAGTGTGGCCCTAACTCTTCTCTTATGCAACTTGCTACAAAACATTTTACCTCTCTCTCATACATTCATTCTTTCTTATTTATTTATTCTTTATTCTCTTTTTCTTCCTTGTTTTTTCCTCTTACTCTTAATTCCCTTTCTCTCTTTTCATTTGTTCATCATTTGTTGTTCCTTACCCCAGTTAATTTTTACTTTTCCTCCTTTGTTTATTCATTACATTTAATCTTTCTCTCTTTGCATTTGTCTGACTGAAATCTATGTATCATTACCTGGTCTGTTCATTACTGGATCATCTAAATTTCTGGTTCAAACTGATAATATTCCACTCTAAAATTTCTCTGCTACTTTTAACCCTTTTCTACTGTCTACCTATCATCTAAGCAACAAATTCAGCCAAAAGCTTAGGCAAATCTTAGAAAACATCATTTGATTCTCTGTTAGTAAAACTGGCAGCATCAACCAGTTGCCTGCTACCTTTCAAAGTAACTTTTAACTCGTTGGATCCAAGTGAAGGAGACATGTTGTTGGGGAAAAGTTTGACACAGAGGTGGGTGATGGAAAAGTCTTATCATTGAAGAAAATTTGGCTGTGGTGCAATTGACAGCATTATCTTGTTGAGTGATGGGGATGTTCCCCTATGAGTGCAAAGACTCAGCATTTTTCAGGATGGTGCTCATTCAAGAGTTCCTATAGGATTTCCAGTCCATGAAGGTGCAATTTTCTGTCAACCATGCCTTGGAGAGGGCCTTATCCAGAGAGGAAACTATGTTTATATTTATGAACTTATTTCTGCTCTCTGTTACTAGTGGTGCAAGTTGTTTTTAAAGAAAACTGAGTAATGTAAAAATATAAAAAATACTACATATAATACATTGTTATTTATCATTAATGTTACAACGTAGAATCTGAACTAGCTCAGGAGATATGATCTGTCCACCAAAAGTGGTTGCTTAACATCTTGATGCAACATAACAAATGACAGATATTGACTTCAGTAAATGAAAAAATAGCAAAAATATATCTGCACTAAAAAAAATTAACAAAATCAATTTTTTACCCTGCGATTTCCCTGGTACCTTTCATGCTCTCCCCTGCTATTGGGGCCAAGAACATGGGGGTTTGGAGGTTTTCTATACAGTGACTTCTATATCTTTGGAAACTTTGGAGTGAGAGGAATTAAAAGATACCATAATCATCACAATCTGTTATGCGGAACTATTAAAAGAAATTACCCTATTTTCTGTGCTATTGTAAACGACACAAGCGACTTAATCTGTGAGTGGTGATATGCAGTAGATATTTTCATCATTTAGCATAAAAATGAGGCCAGTGCAGTTATACCCCTTTTGTGCATGAGTATTTCTAATATTCTGTAAGATAGCAGTGTCCATTTCCCTCTATCTCTGTGTATCACTCAGTAATTTATACGGACTGATTCAATGAACATTATTCATAATTTACCTCACAATTTCCCAAGCACCTTTCATGCCCACCCTGCTATTGGGGCCAAGTTTATTGCTAATCCATTAGGAGGAACTATTCTGCAAAATTACCACAGGTTATGCAACTACAAACTATCTTTATCAAAGCTTTGCTAAAATTATTTGACCATTAGGGGTATTGTAATTTTTTTAAACTACTTGAGATCTATTATGAAATATTGTACTCAAAGCTGCTATTGTTACATAACAGTGTTATTGATTTGTTACAACAAATGTTATTTAATCAATTAGAGAAATTGTCCTTATTACCTGAACTAACATTTAACTACACAATAATTTAATTCTGCTTATCTTTTTGATCGAAGTATAAGAAAAGTACATGCTGATTCAATCCAAAAGTCTGATTGAAAAAAACAAACTAATTTCCCTCCAACAATACAAACTCTTACTTTCAATACAGGAGTGCGAAGTGACTTAACAAATGCAGCTGCCCTGCTTCTGAGAAGTAGAGTTTGAAACATGGTGTTACAAGACCAGAAAACCGCACTTCTCCAGCGCTTGCGGCAGTCGGCTCTCGCGAACAGCTGATCTGCCTCACATACAGCTGATTCGCTTCTCCTTACACAACACGGTCTTCGGTGTCTAGCGGAGTCCTTCCAGAAACGCTGTGTCTGATGCTATAAAATGTATTTGTAGTTATTACTCATATTTTACATATGCTCTGATATAAAAATATGATGTTATGTACGATATATATTCATATATAATGTATACCTAGTTTAAAATCCGATTCTTATATTTTGTAATCCGCGCGCTTACGAGAACGCTTTGGGTTAGTTAACTAATATTTATTTTCATTCTTATTTTTAATCATAATTCTCGTTCTTATAGTGTTATATGACCTTAGATTCTAGTACTTTTATTTGTTTCAACCATTAACCATTAAATATTTCTCCTTATTCTTATCATCATTACTATTATCCTCCTTATCATCACCATTGTTATTCATCATTATCATATATATGATCAGTAATAACGATTATGGCAATGATAATGCTAAAATAAGACTAATAATAACAATAATGATAATAATAATAGTAATAATGATAATAATAATAGTAATAAGGATGATAATAATATAAATATTAATAATAATAATAACAATAGTGATAACAACAATAACGATGATAATGATGATTACGATTATGAGAAAGGTAATGGTCACGATCATATTATCATTATTCAACTATATACTGGCAGTACATACACTGAATAATTTCCCCAGGAGTCAAAACCCTGACCAAAGGCCCCTTTGAGCTCTACTTTGAGGGCAATAATAAGTTTCCTAATTATAATCTCGTCCTGAATATTGTTGATTTTCCCTTCTGATTCCCCCTACCCATTCAGCATTCAGCTTTCTTCATTATTCCCGACATGCCTTACCATGTTTTGCTTCCCTCGGCATCTGATATACAATTTCCTGTTCATGCATGTCCTTTATCTTTGGTTGCAGTTGCCTCTGTTCATTTGGAACAAACTGCTTTGTCCGAACCGATTTATTTTCAGTTCACTTCTCTTCATCCTGAGCGCCTTTCCCTGTATTCTTTTATGTAAACTCTTCTCTAACATGGGTTGCCAACTCCTTGAAACGAAAATATGGGCCAGGGGCAATACTTCAACCCATCATTGGCCTAACTCCCTTAGAAAACCCATAATCGATAAAGTATCTCTAAAAACTTTTTAAGCAGGGAAAGTTCTTGCCTAAATCTCAAGCGTTTTTCTTGCTAACTCAAGCATTTCGCTTGCTCTCTCAAGCGACCTCCGTAGATGGTTTGACTTGCGCTTGCTAAGTCAAGCGGTGTACCGTCACCATGGCAACAGCGTCGTTCGCGTACCGTACTGGTCACGATCCTTCGAATGCGGGCGTTGGCCAGATTCATTTCCTTCTCTGCCATCTTGATGCGGCGCTAGCTTGTCAGTTGTTTTGAATTGCGCGCTCAAACTGTTACCAACCGCAGGTGAAATAAACTCCATCCTCGACTTGTGCATAAGTTATCTCTTTCCGAGATTGTTGGTGGGAGTATTGCTTTTAAAACCCAAGTATGTATATTTCGTGTGTTATTTTGATATTTCTATGCTCATCAAGGACTGTTATGATTTGTACTTTATGAAAAAACATTTCCACATGTCTGGCATCACTGAAGAGAGCCTGCCTGCCTTGGAAAACGTTTTAAGGGGACCTTCTGGTGATTTTTCGGCGATTTTCGCCCCTCTTGCCGAAATGGACTTTAATGCATTTTCAAGGAGTTTCTAGGCCCCCGGTTCTCCCCTGAAAATTTCAAGGCCCGACCGTTATTTTTTTAGGTGGTAGCAGCGATTTTCGATGTCGACCGAAATATTATTTTTTTATGTTACCTTAGAAAATCGGCAATTATGACGCAATGATTAGAGATAATAAAAATATGAGGTTATTTTCTGAAAGCTTATCAAATTTCACATATGAGACCAACCTTCTTTTTTTCGGTATAATTTAAAAAATCCGGCAAGCGTCCAAAAAACGACAATGAAGAAATTTTCCATATAAATAACTAAACATGATATGTTTTTCATATGGTGTATTTTCTTTTCTTTATGTTTTCATCATACATAGTTACTTTGATCTATGAGCAAAACATTTCGAAAATGCAAACCTCCCCCCCCCACCCATGGAGGGTAGTTTTGCCAAATATTCAGGATCACCACCAAAATTTTATGGAATATTAATTAGGCTAAGACAAACCTCAGGTTAAAATTTTATTCAAATCTGTTCATACCTTTTCGAGTTAGAAAAAAAAAAAATCCTGGATCCAAACCATGGTCCACATCACCACCAAACTGCAATAAAGTGTTTTAAGCAGGGAAGCGCTTGGCAAGAATTCTTGCCAAGCGCTGTACGGTCCCCTGCTTGGGGACCGTCTGCTTTTTTTTTTCGATTTTTCGATTTTTCTTGCCGATTTTGATGAAACTCACACCCTTTTATTTGGGCCCCTTCCCATTGCCTGTGGTCGATTTTTTTCGAAATAGCCCGAACAGTTTTTGAATTATTGTCAAAAAACGGAAAAATGCGAAATTCGCCATTTTGAAAATGCAGCACCTGGGTCAAAGGATTCCGACTTCAGAAACGGCAAGACATTCAATTTTATTTGATTTTTGCACAGAACTACCTTATATCTACAACTTGATCGTTGTCGTTTTTTCGATTTCGACTTCAATTTTTTTTTTTTTTGTGTGTGTGTGTGTGTGAATTTTTGAAGTAGGGGACTTCAAGAAAAAAAAAGGTAAAAATTTTCTTACATTGACCACTTTTACAAGAAGTACAGGCAAAAACTGCGAAAACGCTCTCGATCAAGTTGCAGATATTTTATTTTTCTACAAAATGAGCCATAATATGTTAATTTTGGACATATGGTGTGCCCGGAATCCTTTGACCCACCCCTAAAGGTGGAGTTCCGAGATATCGGCATTTTACGTTTCTTCATCTTTCCATGGCTATCTTGATATCAACAAAACAAGGCATAAGATTAGTCTTCCTACACCATAATCCTCTATCATCTACCTGCACGTAACGGTTTCTCAAAATCTTACGTATAGTGCAGAGTGGTGGCAGTGATCTGGGGGTCTATAGGCCTACATTGACCATTTTTTTTTAAATTTCTCAAAAATCCAAAAATCATACAGCCATTCTGATTTCATGTTTGAATAGAACTATCTTTCTACTATTATATGCAGAAGCCATTTTTGAGAAGTTGACCTTACTTTTTTCTTGGTGAGTATTTTCCGAAGGTGACTATTTTAACACCCTAATAGGAGATTTTGAAAACATATGTCACTTTTACAAGAACCACGTGAAAATATTACAAATCCTCATGGCAGTATGTAATAGAACTATTATTCAGCTACAAAATGAGCCATAATACTTTAAAATCGGACCGAATATACGTGTGTTATGCGTAAAGATATGACGGACCTAAAAATCGCGATCTTATTCCTTTTTATTATGTTTACATTTTACATGACAAATCATGTACAGAATACTTGTATTTGATATAATTATTTATCATTTACCTATTATTGATGCTCTAATGGGGTTTTACAACGTATAATATTTGTCGAAAGAATAACTTTTCTCCAGTCGGACGGGTACCAAACGCATACTTCTCCCCGCGTGGCCGGGCCGTCCTGGACCATGAAAATCGTCTTTTTAAATCTGCGGAATAACTCTACGGGGTCACGTAGCCAAATTTCACTCTCAGACCCCGTGGAAAGACGAAAAACGATTACATGGCGATGTGAGAGTATGTATATAAGGTATATGAGCACATATAGATAATTTTCGTGTACCCCATGACCTTTTGTTTATTTATATTGTTACTTCCGTTTGTTTCTTTGTTTGTTTGTTGATTGTTTATTTGTTGTTATTTTGTTTGTTAAAGCGTTTTAAGCAGGGGAGCGCTTGGCAAGATTTCTTGCCAAGCGCTGCACCGTCCCCTGCTTAAAACGTTTCCCAAGGCAGGCAGGCCCTCTTCAGTGATGCCAGACATGTGGAAATGTCTTTTTATAAAGTACAAATCATAACAGTCCTTGATGAGCATAGAAATATCAAAATAACACACAAAATATCCATACTTGGGTTTTAAAAGCAATATTCCCACCAACAATCTCGGAAAGAGATAACTTATGCACAAGTCGAGGGTAGAGTTTATTTCACCTGCGGTTGGTAACAGTTTGAGCGCGCAATTCGAAACAACTGACAAGCTAGCGCCGCATCAAGATGGCAGAGAAGTAAATAAATCTACCCAAACATTTTAACAAAGCGCTATATTTTCTCCTATATTCATATAGTGCCTCTAAAACAATGACACACACTTTAGATTGACAGCCCTTTCATTCTGACGCGTTATCAAAACAAATGAATATCCCTGAATTAAAATATAGGCCTACCCATTCCCATATATCCGATTTTATGAGGTTAAATATAACAACTCGAATATAATATCAACAGAAGAATGTTGCTAGAATTTCTCAGACTTTTTTACTTGAAATATTCTTTATTTCATAAAATAGCAGATATATTCTCGATTTAGAAAGACGAGAAGTTTAACAATAAGAGTCTTATAATCATTTATTATTCATAAGTATTTTTTTTTATTCCCATAATCTCCATTATCTCCTTTCGTTTTCAGTTAATTTCAATTTCTTTGAATATGATTTTAAGAAAATTACAGAATCAGATACCGTGAAAAAAATTATTTATCTGATAAGATATTAAGCGGGGTTCCTGGCCAACGCCCGCATTCGAAGGATCGTGACCAGTACGGTACGCGAACGACGCCGTTGCCATGGTGACGGTACACCGCTTGACTTAGCAAGCGCGTCAAGCCATCTACGGAGGTCGCTTGAGAAAGCAAGCGAAATGCTTGAGTTAGCAAGAAAAACGCTTGAGATTTCAGGCAAGAACTTTCCCTGCTTAAAACGCTTTTAAGTTAGGTTAAAACTCACCTTTGGTTAAAATCTCGTTAAAATGTGTTCATAACTTTCAGAAATATTAGAAAACGCAAAAAAAAAATTTGGTTTTAATAGTTATTCAAACCCTGCGTCTATAGGCCTATCTATTCAGACAAAATAAACAAATATGAATTTAATCGGCATTGTATTTTAAGCACTGAAAATGATATGTATTACATATCTTCTGTCCACAGAACAGTTTAGCTGTGCAACCAACAAAATTCCAAAGTAGCATACTTGAAATACTACTAAGCAATACTAAATTTGGCCTCGTTCTTTAAGAATAAAAGGATCGCAACGATTGCAAAATTGCAGATTAGCAACAAATGCATAGGATATATTAATAAACCTGGTAGCACTACAGGCGAAAATTTAGTCGTAAGCTGAAGGGTAAAACCCTCAAAAAAAAAAAAAAAAAAATGCCGAAATTTATCAAAATATAACTAATTATCTTAGTTCAAATGTAATCTTTTCAAAGTCAATATCCTTTCAGAACAAAAGTTTATTTTTCCTAAGCCTAAGCACTAGGAAACGACCCATTTACGAAAACTACCTCCCAATTTTCTCAAACTTTCCTGCAAGAGTACTACAGAATTGAACTTTCATTATAATAAAATTTACTCTTTTATTGACTATCAAAAAAACGAAACAAAGGGCGTCCCGTATCAGTTCACGAAGGGACGCGTCATTTATTTTCCAAAATACGGATCGATTCCGTATGTTAAGGGACGGTTGGCAACCCTATCTATAACAGTTGTTATTTATATTTTCTATTTTCGCACTCGCTTTATATTTGACCCTTTTGTTAAACCTTTACCTCTCCAGAATGTTCATATCCTGCCTCAGCTTCACAATACCACCTTCTATTCATCTTTTCCACCAT